CCTCATGTCGTTCCAAACCTCCGTTCATCTTCAGAACACAAATTAAGATATTTTGGATGAAATCTGAAAGCTTTCTGACCCTCCCATAGACAGCAAGGGATCTACCAACCTTAATTTTACGAAGCTGAGAATACTTTTTGTGTGCAAAGTAAACAAATATAATGACTGTATTCAACAATACTTCTCCGCATCACTCTAGCGCCATTATGGAGAGTATCATGACGAATGCGCTGCACCTTGTTTACAAGCAGAGGAATTCATGCGCATGTGTCGTGATGCTCTCCATAATGGCACTAGGTTCACGCCTTTTCATATTTGTGACCCTGGATCACAAAACCAGTCATAAGTCGCTCAGCAACTGCAAGATGGTGCCGCACATGGCTGCCTCAGTTTGTCGCTCCTTGGTACTTTTACTGTTTTTGTTTGTTTGTCCTGTCTTAAGCAATGTTTTTCCGATCAGCTTCACTAGAAACGAACTCTTGGACATAAGGAATAGCACACCAGATAACTTTTTGCAGACGTTTGAACATTCAGACGTTTTACTGGACATTTTAGTCGAAGGAGCTGCATTTCTATACAAGCGCTCCAGGCGACGCAAGCGAGAAAAGCGCGCCGGTGCGCTCGTGAAACTCGGTCAGCGCGGTTTTAGGACTCCCCTGCCGAGTATTCATCTGGCGAATCTCCGCTCCCTTGCAAATAAATCAGACGAACTACAACTCCTCACCCGCACAAACAAGGACTTTTTAAACTCCGCTGCGCTCTGCTTCACGGAAACCTGGCTGAACGGAGCCATCCCGGACAGCGTGCTTCATCTAACGGGCTTCCAGCTGTTCTGAGTGGACCGTATCAACGAGTCGTCGGGGAAAACGAGAGGTGGTGGATTATGTTTTTATATCAATGAAGGCTGGTGTACAGACGTGACAGTTTTAAAGAAGATGTGCTGCCCAAACTTGGAAGCTCTCTTTATTAACTGTAAGCCTTTTTATTCGCCGCGGGAGTTTCCCTCGTTTATTCTGGTGAGTGCATACATTTCTCCTGACGCGCATGTGAACGCGGTGCTAGAACTGTTGGCCGATCAAATTACACACACAGAGCAGCGTTATCCGGACTCTTTCATTATCATTCTTGGGGATTTTAATAAAGCTAATCTCACCCGTGAACTGCCTAAATATAGACAGCACATCACGTGCCCCACCAGAGACAGCAATATACTGGACCACAGCTACACTGTTTTAAAGGATACATACCACTCTGTCTCCCGAGCAGCTCTGGGACTCTTCTGCCAGCCTACAGGCAGAAACTAAAATCTGCTAAGCCTGTAGTAAAAACTGTAAAGACATGGACTGTTGAAGCAGAGCAGGATTTACAGGCCTGCTTCGAACTTACTGATTGGAGTGTTTTTGAGGCTGCAGCTACTGATCTGGATGAGCTCACTGACACCGTGACATCCTACATTAGTTTTTGTGAGGACATGTGTACCCACCAGGACTTATTTAACATTTAACAACGACAAACCTTGGTTCAGTACAAAACTCAAACAGCTTCGCCAGGCCAAAGAGGATGCCTACAGGTGTGGGGACAAAGACTTGTACAAACAGGCCAAATACACACTAAATAGGGAGATAAGAGTGGCAAAGTTAAACTACTCTGAAAAGCTAAAAAAACAGCTTTCAAGTAATGACTCTACATCAGTGTGGAAAGGCCTGAAAGCCATCACCAGCTACAAGACCCCATCCCCCAGCACTGAGGCCAATCAACAACTGGCTGAAGACCTGAACGAGTTCTACTGCAGGTTTGAAAAGCAAAAGCCTGGTCTGACACCCCACACCCACTCCGACCGTCTCACAGCACAGCCATCAACACCCTCCCCCTCCATCCCCCCTACTGTTTCTCATCCTGCACTCAAGATCTGTGAAGAGGATGTATGCAAAGTCAAAGCAGAAGATAAGGAAAGCCAAAGGCCCAGACCCCCCCCTCCCCCCTACTGTTTCTCAGCTTGTACTCAAGATCTGTGAAGAGGATGTATGCAAAGTCGTCAGGAAGCAGAAGATAAGGAAAGCCAAAGGCCCAGACGGTGTCTCTCCAGCCTGCCTCAAAGCCTGTGCTGTCCAGCTATCATCCATCTTCACATTGATCTTCAACAGATCCCTGGAGCTGTGTGAAGTCCCCTCTTGCTTCAAACGCTCCACCATCATCCCTGTACCCAAGAAACCAAAAATCACAGTACTTAATGACTACCAGACCTGTTGCTCTAACGTCTGTGGTCATGAAGTCATTTGAGAGACTGGTGTTGGCCTACTTGAAGGACATTACTGGACCCTTGCTGGACCCCCTGCAGTTTGCTTAACGAGCAAACAGGTCTGTGGATGATGCAGTCAATATGGGATTGCACTACATCCTCCAACATCTGGACAAACCAGGGACTTGTGCAAGGATCTTGTTTGTGGACTTCAGCTCCGCTTTCAACACCATCATCCCGGACACCCTTCAGAATAAACTGACCCAGCTCTCTGTACCCACCTCCATCTGTCAGTGGATCACCAGCTTCCTGACAGACAGGCAGCAGGGCTGCGTCCTCTCCCCACTGCTCTTCTCCCTCTATACAAATGACTGCACCTCTAAAGATCCCTCTGTCAAGCTCCTGAAGTTAGCAGACGACACCACAGTCATCGGTCTCATCCAGGACAGCGACGAGTCTGCTTACAGACAAGAGGTTGAGCAGCTGGCTGTCTGGTGCAGTCACAACACTCCCCCCACTCACCATCATGGACAGCACTGTGGCTGCAGTGGAGTCATTCAGGTTCCTGGGAACCACCATCTCACAGGACCTGAAGTGGGACACTCACATAGACTCCATCGTGAGAAAGGCCCAGCAGAGGTTGTACTTCCTTCGTCAACTGAAAAAGTTCAACCTGCCACAGGTGCATATGACACAGTAATAACACAGCTGTTATTGAGTCGGTTCTAAACTCTTCTATAACTGTCTGGTTTGGGTCAGCCAGCAAATCAGATATAAGAAGACTGCAGTGGACTGTTAGGACAGCAGAAAGGATCATTGGTGTCCACCTGCCCAATCTTCAGGACTTGTACAACTCCAGAGTGAAGAAATGGGCAGGTAACATCATCACAGACCCCTCTCACCCCGGCCACAACCTGTTTGCACTTCTCCCCTCAAGCAGACATACAGATCTTTGTGCACTAGAACATCTAGGCATAAAAACAGTTTTTTCCCCCATGCCATCTCCAGCCTAAACAGCTAACACATGAATTATTACCTGTGTTCTGTAATTCATTCTCCATCTCTAATTATTGCCTCTCTCTCAAGTACTATGCAAATACATATGCATATTTTTTTATACAGCTGTATAGAGTAAATAATGCACAAATCTGTACATAAATCTTCTGTTCCAGATTCATACACATTATTATTATTATTTATTGTTGTCTTACGATTTAAATGTTTTCTGTTCTCATGTCAGATATTTATGTATGTATGTACAGTATGTCTGTACAATGCCATCCAGTGTGTTTGTGCACACTTGGCGAATAAAGCTGATTCTGATTCTGAGGTATATATGTAGCAATAGCCAAAAATACATTGCATGGGTCATAATCATTGGTTTTTCTTTTATGCTACTTTAAAGGTGATTTCTCAATATTTTGCACCCTCAGATTCCAGATTTTCAAATAGTTGTATCTCAACTAAATATTGTCCTATCCTAACAAACCATACATCAATGGAAAGCTGATTTATTCAGATTTCAGATGGTTTAAATTTGAATTTCAAAAAATTGACCCTTATGACTGGTTTTGTGGTCCATGGTCACATTAATTTTATTTTTTGCAGTGACTGGCTGACTGTACATTATTCTGCTATTTACAGCAGCTACTTCATGGTTTGAGTGGAGAGTTGACCAGTCACAATCAAAGATATCACCAAGCATGCTTTATATGCAATTTTTGATGTAAACTTTGTGTTCTCATATTTTGGTGATTGTACCACAGGTTGGATCAGGAACTGGACTTCATCCTGTCCCAGCAAAAAGAGCTGGAGGACCTTCTTGGTCCATTAGAGGAGTCTGTGAAGGAGCAGAGCGGAACCATTTACATGCAGAACGCAGATGAAGAGCGAGAGAGAACGTAAGAACTCAATCGGCCATCTAAGCATCTCATATTGCCCTCATATACTGTGGCATCATTGAGTATCTGAATGAGCTTATTTATCCAGGTACAAGTTGGCAGAAAATGTAGATGCCCAACTCAAGAGAATGTCCCAAGATCTGAAAGAGATTATTGAACACCTCAACACATCCAGCGGTCCTGCTGACACCACTGACCCGGTATGCAAAATATGGCCAATAGTCCAGACAGAAATGCTCTTAATTGTTGTGTGATCTGTACTAAGAATGACTGTTGTTGTTTTTTTTAGCTTCAGCAGATCTGCAAAATCCTCAATGCACATATGGACTCCCTGCAGTGGGTAGAGCAAATCTCTGGTTGGTATATTTTTGGCTTTAAAACCTTTTACACACTAAAAAATAAACTGTCAGTCCATTAAATGCTTTATGAATGTTAGCTTGTGTTCTTAACATATAGTTTTTCTGTGCAGCTTTACTCCAGAGGCGAGTGGAGGAGGTCTCAAAGCTGTGTGAAAGCCGCGGCAAGGAACAAGAGAAGAGCTTTCGTTTGAACTTCCAGTGATCATGCATATTTTCCCCCCTCGCTTTTCTCAGTCAGTTGTAAATGAATGTCATTGTTTTTGGTATTTGCTTCAAAATAAAGTAATTTCTTTCAACCCCATTTCCTCGTAATTAGTCTTTTTTATTATTCATATTGATTGCTATTTACAAATTATCATAGGTTTTTCTCACAGTTTAGTCATCAAGAACTTAAGGTAGAAAACCAGAGTAATTTTTAAAGATGTAAAATGGAGAAAACACCTGCAAAAACGGGAGTTTCTCTTCCTGGTTGGTTTACACTTACGGGATAAAACGAGCCAATCAGCTGCATGGAGCTCCACCATAGCAACATGGATTCTGGCATTGTTTAATATCATCAAGCAATCTTGGTCTGCGTCTAGGAAAAAAAAAATCTCCAGAAATAAAAATCATACTATTTTAGAGGAGGTTGCAGGTTTAAACGGGGACGAAATGACCACCGACATCTGCAGGTATGTGCAGCACTGAGAGTGCGGCTGCATGCGCCGGAGAACAGCATCCTCCCCTCCACATGCATGTAGTCTGTGTGTAGCATGAACCACGAGTATGTCTGAAGTGCAAAGTGATGCTTGGATAACAGAGTGCAATGGCGTGGATGCTCGGCAGACTGGGGTAATTCATAACATAAGAAATAAAATGCATGGCGTGATTTTGCACATTAACTATAGCACGCGTCGGTACAACAAGCATGGGTTCGGAATGCATCATAAAACGCATGCCCCAATTTATCCTATGCTGCACATTCTTTGCATTAAATGCATGCATTCTCCCATGCATTATTTATGATTTTTCTGCGTGTTTTAAAAATGCATTCAATAACCACGCGGACTGTGGTGTTTAAAGTGAATTGCGCCCAGTGCATGTGTGCATATTCGCGTTCAGTCAGTGCATTCAGAGCGCGCGCGCAGACGGCTTGAGTCTCGCGTGCGCCATTTTAGCGCGTCTCCAGCCATCCGGCAAGATGGCGCTCTCGCTTTGTCTGTCCTGATCGGCATAAAACACTGTTTACTTGTACTACACACCTGAAAATCCACCGGATCGAATGAAAAAGACCCTTTCCTAGCGGTGCCAAACCGGTGACATCTCAGAGATCCGCGCGTGACGCGAGCACAGAGATCTTAAGGTAACGTTAGGGATGTAATGTTAGCCGGGTAATGCGTGCTCACATCTGTGCTTAAGTATTGCGAATAGGTAGGAGGCGTCTACATGGGGATTGGTATCCTAACAAAGTGCCTTGCTTTTGTTTTACAACTATTCTCATTATTCACGCTATTGTGCATCTCCAGCAGCTCACTAGAACGTTAGGTGCATTGGTCATATGCTAGAACTAGGCCTTTCTCCACCAAATGTTGTAGCACTTCGTTTAAATGGGCGTTTTGGCTTAGAATTATGTCGATTTAGGAGATCTGAGTGTCGTTTTTGCGTCTCTGGTGTTTTCCTCTTAAATCAGCCTCAGTATTGAAAGGAAATAACAATCTGTGTCAAACAGTTGGCCAAATGAACAGCGATCTGTAGTGACATGACTGGTTTTCCCCTCATCTTGTCTTCTTCATGTAACTAGTTTCCTCGCTTTAGCGGCCGGTTTGTTTATGCTAGCTGTTATCGGTGCGTGTCTTCCGTCTGTTACCGGCTGCGATGACGCCACCTGTCAATCAAACAGCGACCGCGGCGCGTGAAATTACCTCAAAACTCTCCCAGGCTTTCATTTCATGCGACTTTCACTGTTCATGTTGGATTGTCATTGCATGCATTTATGTGTATTTATACCTACAATTACGTATTTCTGCACTTACTTTTCTGCGCGGTATTGTTTGCCGTTTTTGGAGCGTGACTTTAATTTTTTTGATTTATTTTATTATTTTTTTTTTGTTTGCGGTTGACATTTTATAATTCTTCAGACAGAGTTGGAGGTATTGTCGTATTACGACGTTTCTTTATAATATTATCGTAGTAAACCGCAACATAGTGTCTGCTACAGTATCTTGTGATAACCCTGTGAGAAAACTGTTTTTTTTATTCAGTTAACGTTAACTCTTTTGAAGAGATTTTTAATCCAGATACATTTTGAGTTTTTAGCGAAAATAAATTTTAAAAACCTACTAATAATTTGTTATACATTTTTCCAGAAATGAAAATAGCCACAGAAGCTGGCATCAATCAAACAATACTGTGATAACTTGGTATTAGCCTCCACTAATATAGTTGTGTGTGTGTGTGTGTGTGTAATAAAATAAATATTTTGAAAGCTTCTTGCGCTGAAATTCCATATTCAGTTCAGTTTTACAGTAACAATAAGAGCATTATCTGTGGTAAATTGTGTTAAAGGTGGGCCATTGATATCTTACATCTTTATACATACAATATGCTGTGTTTCTTTCAGGTCCAGTAAGTTGAATACATTGGTGACTAAACTTCATGAGTTCTTGGGTCATTCTCCAGACGACGAAAGCATTGATTCTCAAGACATTTCCAATGGTGAGGATCCCTACCGTCAGCTTTTCAAAGGCTAAATATAATAAATAAGGCCAAATAATGATATCTATGTATAAATAGTGTAAAAATATGTAAATGTTTTCTTAACTTTATTTAATTTGCAATAAATCTGAAAATGATGCATCTTGTAAGTTTGCATGCTTTTCTCATAATGCAGGTAATATGGCTGATCGTGACTCAAACATCCCTAATGAGAGAATGAATGAGGTACGTCTACCGAGTCTGGTTTTGCTTTTTATCTCTAAAACACTGTGTTCTATCCGTCTGTGTCAGGGCAAGTCTACAGCGTAAGGTCATTTTTCTGTTCTCACTTAGTGGATTTACGTTCACTTTGAAGTTCAACTTGAGTTGAACTAAAGCAATAGTTAGTTTTTTTAAAATGACGTGTAAACTAAAAGACTCTAATTGTACTTGCCCAGTTTTTGCAAAGTCGCAGACAAATCCTAGATCTATTTTTTTTCTTTAAGATTAGCGCACATGAAGAAGAGCATCACAATTAGGATTCAGGCAGATTTGTTAATGAATAATGATACATCTTGCCATTTAGCAACAGGCCTTTCTGAGGGAAAAAACAAGACCGCTTCTGCCATCATTCTCTGTAATAGTGCGAGAATGATATAGTGCATGAATAAAGAATCAGTTACACGACTCATGTTCATGCTTTGATTTTCAGTTTGCTTCAAAAGTTTCTTCAGGAAGTTTATAAAAGACAAGGAAATTAAATTGATACCCATCACATCCATTTTATTCCATACCCTGAAAGCTTATAGCGGCAATATTTATGATTTCTAAATTTGGGTTATTATAATCAGGTAGGTGGACAAGTTTTTTTTTTTTTTTTGCCAAAGAGATGTTTCTGTGAGCTTTGTGCTAGATTTATGCAAAACCACTGTAAGACTAATGATGCAGGTTGAGCTGGTAATATATGGATTTATCATCACTGGAAATGAAATGAAATGTTTTTTGTTTTTATTTTCTTTTATTCAGCCTGGTTGCTCCTCAGAAATGACCAAACCCTCATCTTCACGCTCAAAGAGGTGAGTTGGGCTGCAGTTATTGTCGACGCTCTGGCTCTTGTCCAGTAAAATAGTGTAGTTTGACGCTGTGCTCTAAAGGATTGCAGGTTGTTGTGGGAATGGAATGCTGGAATTTTGAGTTTGAAAGTGTTTGTGTGGGAAGAGGATGTATTTTGATCATGTTTATTGGAACTTATCTTATCTCTCGGCTGGAGTATTGCGTTGGGCTGGGGGGGGCTGTTTTAAGTTGGTTTAAATATTTTCTAACCAATAGACCTTTCTCTGTAAAAATAGGACGTTTCTCTTCTTCTCTTCACAATCTATCTTGTGGTGTGCCTCAAGGCTCTGTTTTAGCTCCTGTCCTTTTTTCTCTTTATCTTCTCCCTTTTGGTTCCATTCTTAGGAAACATAATGTCTCATTTCATTGCTATGCCGATGATATGCAAATCTATATGCCTGTGTCTAAGAAAAATAAGAGTTCTCTGGTAGGGCTGCACGATTAATCGCATGCGATATTTAACGCGCATCTTGTCAGAAAGCCGGTTCTGTAATCAGCGTAAATCTCCATCACCTGCGGGCTTTCACATTGAGCAGCAAATATCGCATGCGATTAATCGTGCAGCCCTATTCTCTGGGCAACCTAACAGCATGTCTTGAGGATGTGAAAGCTTGGCTTGCCAAGAATTTTCTTTTTCTGAACTCAGACAAAACAGAAGTCATTGTTTTTGACTCCTCAGAATTCAGGCCAAGAAATCCTTGACCATGAATCCTTAAATCAATTCTTCTCTCCCCAAGTCCGGAATCTAGGTGTGATGGTAGATAGTTGCCTCAAATTTGACAAGCAGGTTAGTGCGATCATTGAGTCCAGCTCTATCAAAAATCAAATCCTTTCTTCCTAAGCGCTCCTTGGAGATTGCTATCCATGCTCTTATTACCTCTCGCCTGGATTATTGCAATTTCCTGTACTTTGGTTAGTGGTCGACTGATATGGGTTTTTTCACAGCCGATGCCGATATCTTGGAAAGCAGGGTGGCCGATATAAAGCCGATATAATTTTATTTATTTTACATAATACTTTTTGTATACCTTTTAATTCCTTTGTTTAACATTATTAGACAGAACTGAACGACGACAGCGAACAAGAGGGAGAATGTGATCACTGTGTCGCGCATCTCCAGTGAAGCTGAACTCTCCTCCTGTCAGCTTTCAGTTCATATGGACCGACCATCACGCAGAGCACACGCGATCATGAAGGATACAAATGCACACTTCACAATAGGGCTGCACGATAAATCGAAATGGAATCGAGATTGCGATTCGACAGAAGCTGCGATTGTCCTGCGTATCTTTAAAATGCTGCGGCGAGATTCCTGAAAGGAAAGAGGAAATTTGATCACGCTACCCCACCTTCTGAGATCCCTTCACTGGCTTCCGATTAATTTTAGAATTGAGTTTAAAATTGTATTACTGGTTTATAAATCATTAAATGATTTAGCACCTACTTATTTGTCTGATCTACTTCACCCCTACTCTCCCACCAGAGGCCTTAGATCCAAAGATAAGCTCCTCCTCGACAGAAGCTGCGATTGTCCTGCGTATCTTTCAGTGAAGCACGGTTCTGTGATCAGCAGAAAATCTCAATCTGAAGGCCAGAGGGCGCTCTCGCACTGAAACTCCAAATACGCCTCGCAGAAGAAACCCAGAAAATGCCTATCACTGGCTTCCGATTAATTTTAGAATTGAGTTTAAAATTGTATTACTGGTTTATAAATCATTAAATGATTTAGCACCTACTTATTTGTCTGATCTACTTCACCCCTACTCTCCCACCAGAGGCCTTAGATCCAAAGATAAGCTCCTCCTTCAGATACCCACAACCCGGCTAAAATCGAGGGGTAACCGAGCCTTTGAAGTGGCCGGCCCGACACTGTGGAACAAGCTCCCACTCTATATTAGATCGGCTTCCACTTTGTCTGAGTTCAAGTCATGTCTCAAAACGTATTTATTCTCTGTTGCTTTTAGCTTATAAGAGTGTTCTGTTTTGCTGCTATTAGAGTACTTAATTTTTAATTTTATTCTAACTTGTACAGCACTTTGGTCGACCTGTGGCTGTTTTTAAATGTGCTTTATAAATAAACTGAACTTGAACAACCTGTTAACCCCTTTTCCCTTCTATTGTTAATGAAAGAAAACCTTCATTTGTGACCAAGCACACTGCTGTAGATGAGTCTGAATGTGCGAATGAGAGTGCAGGTGAACACGGCACAGATGAGAGCATGCAGAGCAGTCTGGATATCAGCAAGCTGCCGCAAGGTTCGTCCTCTGTTAAGATGTTAAAGTCTTCTGAAGCGTGTCGTTTAAGAGGCGCACTGACTCTCCTCCTTCACGTTTCGCAGGCACAGTGGTGGTCAAGCCGGAACCGGTTGCTAATGAAGCTAAAGATGAATTCCGTGGCCCCGAGTTTCGTAGCAGAGGAAGTAAAGTGAAAGAGGACGGTGCTCGGAAACGTCCTGGTGAGAGGGTTTGTGTACTGTAAATGATCCCATGCCCCATTAAAGGCTAGTGAATTATCTCGGATCGATTTATTTGTTACATAACTGCTGCACTGGGTCAAATGGATCTATTTTATATGTTGTTTTCAATGGTCAAACAATTTCTTATTTCTAGGTTAATGTGCTGAAATTCCATTGAATCTTTATTTTTCTTTATTTTTTTTCCAAAATGGCAATCACTAATGTAATTTTAAAAACGAAGTGTAATTTTAGTGTAACCTATTCGGCCAAACAATGGAAGAGATTAAATGCAGTTCTTAAGTTTAAAAATTAAGTTAGGTCATCATAATGAAGCAGACCTATAGATCTCCACATTTATCTGTTGTATTGTCATTCGATATTTACATAAAATTCTCTTATTTGTATGGCTATATGTTTGGTCTCTAAAATCACCATTAGGTCAAATACTGTGGATATCACAATCTATCAGCCTAATGCATTTTATTAAAAAAAATATAGGTTCTCTTCTCTCAGAGAAAACAAAAACAGTCCTGAAATATGCCCATATGTCATGTTTTGGAGGCACACCTAAAAACACACTTGAATAAGCTGAGTAGTAACCGATTACATGTAATTTGGATTATGTAATCAGGTTCCAAACGTTAAAATTAGATTATATTACAATTTAAAATACTTGCAATCAGACTACAGTTGCTTTTTTATTGATTACATATTCACATGATCTCATGACATGCAGGTAAACGGGTGTAATTCATTTTTTATGTTTTATTTTGATTTGTTGTTGTAATTTGAAAAATATTTATTTTAATTTAACATTTATATGATTTAATTAAGTAGCTCTTGATTAAACTCGTGAACCCCTTTGCGAATGGAATATATATTGTATTTTTATATCAATATGGTACAAGATTAGCATATTTAAATCAATGTGATGAACAAGTTAGGTCAAAATTAATAAAAAAAAAAAAAAGTAGTCTCATTATATTACCTGAAATGTGTAATGTAATGGGTCACGTTACTAACTACAATTTTTGTCATGTAATTTTGAATCAGTAACAGACTACAGTTTGTTACTACACTCATGAACTAGTGTTGAGGCTGCTCCCAGAGTCTTAGCGTTGCAGTATGATTGTTTTATTATCGTCATCATCTATTTTTTAATCTCTTGCAGACGAGCGGCTCAAGGAGATTTTTAATTGCACAGCATGTGGACAGCAAGTCAATCACTTTCAGAGAGATTCTGTGCTTCAACATCCCGCACTACATGTTCTTATCTGCAAGGTAGAAACCAGATTAACTTGTTACAGCCAATTACGCGCTTGTATCTCTCTCATTCACATGCCTTTTTCTTACAGTCATGTTTCAAATATTATATGAGTGATGATATCAGCAAGGATGAAGATGGAATGGATGAGCAATGCAGGTTGGTGCAGAACATTTATTTATTTATAACACTCTAGCTGTGACGATACCAACATATTAGTAGTCAGTGGAATTTCACATTTCCCAATACCACTTTTAATGCCACAGCAAACACTATTATCCTGATGAATGCACTGCAGTATAAAGTTAAATTAAGTGAAAACATTGTTGTGCAACTTTAAGGGTTCTCAGTTTAATCAGTAAATGGGTCAAAGACAAAAAATGGTTTTCAAGCATCAAAAACAATAAGTGAAATACAGCTTTGAATTGTTGTTGGTTTTTAATACATTACAAAGTGTCCTGTTTAATTTTTTTTTTTTTTATAATTATTTTTATTGAATTTTCACTGTAATACAAAAATAACAAGGCATCGCCCAAAAGGAACAAAACAACAAAAAAAACACACACACATAGCTCAGATTATTAAATAAAACAGGACTACCCCATATATAACAGATTAGTGAAAGAAGGGAAAAAAAAAATGAATAGGGCAGAAAAGTTAAATGTCCAGACAGTTACACAATTACAATATTCCTTGTAGTATAATAGGGCGAAGATGAGGTTCCATATAGTCCAGATATGGAATCCAGACTTTATAAAACAGGCCTGTTTTTTGATGTAATACATAGGTAAGACGCTCCAGAGGAATCAGTTCAAAAATTATCTTATGCCAACCTTTAAGTGATGGAGATTTATCACTAATCCAATTAAGTAAAATATTTTTTCTGGCAGCAAAGGAGAGAATATTATACAATTTCTTGTTAGCAAATGAAACAATGCATTTATTAGGTATACCCAATACCAATGAGACTGGGTCAAAATCCAACTGCATATTAAAGATCTTTTCCATTTCCCCCAGCACCAAAAACCAATACCTTTGCAGTCTGTTACATGACCACAGACAATGTGTTAAAGTACCTACTTCAGTTTTACATTTTAAACACATAGGCGATAGAGAGAGGTTAAAAAAATGCCTGAGATTAGGAGAAATATGGAGTGTATGTATGATTTTAAATTGTATTTCTCTTGTACGTGCACAAACAGATATTCTCTTAGCATAAGACCAAATGTCATCCCATGTTTCATCATCAGTATCAGTAGCTAACTCTTCCTCCCATTTAGTTTTAATTGTCTGTGTATCAGCAGAAGAAATTGAACACATAGCACCATAAAATCTACCCAAAGACATTTTTCCCGATGATACAAATAATAACCTCTCAATAGAAGTGTCCTGTTTAATTAAATAGTGTTTTTTTTTCTTTTGCGCAAATAAACATTTTTACCATGATTTACAGAAAACAGACACTAAAATGTCATTCAAATCTATAATCTTAGATTAATAATCTTGTCAGGCATATGTACCACAACAATAAGTTTGACATGTTAAAAGACTAATTAGTTTTACCTCAGATGCTACGTGCATATTTTACATATTTAAACTTTGCCACTATCCCAGTTTGGCTATTTGTCAGCAAGATTTTTGTACTCAATTAAAATGCGATAAAATTTAATATGCTCACTTATTCTTTTATGTATTTTAATACGCACAGGTCAGAATAAGTATGTTGTTTGAACTTTTACATAAATATACACTACCGATCAAAAGTTTGGGATCAGAACGATTTTTTTGTTTTTTAAAGGAGTTTCTTCTGCTCATCAAGACTGCATTTATTTGATAAAAAATACAGGAACAATTTAGTATTGTGAAATATTATTACAATGTAAAATAATGTTTTTCTATTTTAATATACATTAAAATTTAATTTATTCCTGCGATGTGCAGCTGTATTTCCAGCATCATTACTGCAGTCTTCAGTGTCAAATGATCTTCAGAAATCATTCTAATATGCTGATTTATTATCAGAGCTGGAAACTGTTGCTGCTTCATATTGTTTTGGAACCTGTGATACTTTTTTCAGGATTCTTTGGTGAATAAAAAGTTAAAAAGAAGAACATTTATTTAAAATAGAAATCTTTTCTAACAATATACACTACAGTTCAAAAGTTTGGGGTCAGTACATTGTTATTCTTTCTTTTTTTGAAAGAAATTAAAACTTTTATTCAGCAAGGACGTGTTAAATTGTTAAGAAGTGATAGCAAAGATTTATATTGTTAGAAAAGATTTATATTTTGAATAAATGCTGTTCTTTTTATTCATCAAAGAATCCTGAAAAAAGTATTGCAGTTTCCAAAAAAATATTGTGCAGCACAACTGTTGATAATTCTAATAATAAATCAGCATATTAGAATGATTTCTGAAGATCATGTGACACTTTATACTGGAGTAATGATGATGGAAATTCAGCTTTGCATCACAGAAATAAATTATATTTTAAAGGATATTAATATAGAAACCGTTATTTTGTATTGTAATAACATTTTGCAAGATTACGATTTTTTTTTTCTGTATTTTTGATCAAATAAATGCAGCCTTGATGAGCAGAAGACACTTCTTTAAAAAACATTACAAGTCTTACTGATCCCAAACTTTCGAACGTTAAAGTGTTATATATACATAACGTGTAAGTGTTATATATATACATAAATATAAGTGACACTGAAGGTGCATTATTTCACCCACATTTTGACATTTTATTCTCCCCAAACCTTAAATGTAGACACTTTTTCTAGCATTTAATGTGCTTTCTGTGTATATAAAATCACTTTTGTAAAATTTATTTTGATGCGGACATTTAAATGTCTTTGACCCATGTGTTATATGTGCATTATATATATATATATAAGGGCTGTCAATCGATTACAATTTTTAATCTAATTAATCGCATCCTTTTTCTGTGATTAATTGCGATTAATCGCACACTTCATGAAATTAAGCATAAACCATTTATCTTGTTTCAAATGTTTATTTTGTCATCATTTGCTGTACACGGATCCATTCAGAATAACTAAACACAGCTACATAAACATGACAAATCAAAACATTATCATTAGGGATGTGTATCGGGCCCGATACTGAGCTCCTGTATTCGTACTCGTTAAAATGCCCCGATACCAAACGCCGATACCACACAGCATGTGA